AGTATGTCCAGGTTTCTATCAACCCTTGGAGACCTTTAAAGATATTGCTGGCCACTTCTTCCAACATAGGCTGGCCACCTGTGTCGGAATGAGTGTGCATTTTGGTCAGTATAAAAGCCCAAGCCTCATACGATGTGGGGGAGGCAGAGCCTCTGTGGGGACGCCCGCTAAGGATGAGCCTGCCACCTCGCACTGCAATGATGCTTCTCGGAGCCGCTTTTCTGTTAGTCTCCACAGGGTCCTTGTGCCACGTTCTGTACGTGGGACTGTAGTGGGAGTAATGATTGTCTGGATTTTGTGCTTCAAATATTGTAGTTGTGTGGCATGTGCTTGTGGGATCCCATACGTGTGTGTGTGTGTGTTGAGGGCAGACGGTGTTCTGTGTATTTTCTGTTGTTGGGTTCATGTAAAAGTTTTTAACCGGTAGCAGTTTAACATTTCGGGCAAAAAAGGGTTAATGCAAAAGTGCGGTTGCCGACAGGTATTTATGGTTGCTGCTGAAGCAGGCAGGCAGCTGTAGCTGCTGCCGAGCAGGCAGGCTTTTATAGCTGTGCAAAGCAGGGTGAGCGACTTTTGGGGAAAAAAAAAAAAAAAAACAAAAAAAAAAAAGCTGACCTCCGATTCAGCTCCCAGTGCTCCACCAGCAGAACGGCCAGGATGGACGCCAGAGCTGAGGAGTGAAGGAAAAAAACAAACCAAAAATACCCCAAACCAACAAAACAAAAAAACAAAAAAAACCCAACAAAACCCAACCTCTCAATCTATTGAGGTATTGAAGCAGTTTGTAGAGACACCACAGACAAAGCCTGAAGAGCACCTGCAACACAGTGGGTGCATGGTAGGAGCCTTGCTTAGTATGTTTAAGGTAACCTGGGGGTGGATCCAAGACTTGGAGGAATAGATAGATCGGTTGAAGTAAGAAAAGTTGCTAACTGAAAAAGCGAGAGGGGTAGTGCAACCACAAGCTTTATGAGCCGTCACCTAAGCAGCATCAGGGTGGCAGGAAAAAAAAACAACAAAAAAACCAAAACGAGGCAATGATGCAGCAAACTCCTCGACTGTTAACAATGCGCAGTTTAACCTGTCTGCTTCTCAAGAACTGATAACCTGGGGGAGGGGGTGTGTTTGTGTCCTCCTGCCTACAGGTCCATGGTGACTGCCTGCAAAGTTGGTCAAGCCTTGCCATGAGCTGGACAAGACAAATGGAAAAACCTGATGCCTCAGCTACAGGAGCTGACTGTGAATACCCCAAGCAGAATGAGATAGAGGAAGAGAAAAATGAATGATTGCAAAACATCACTTGGGGGCAACTGAAAAGTAACATCCTGAATATGTGTGCTTGTAAAGTAGCTATTATCAGAGGCTGTGATTTTGTGTATAAAACTTTACTAGCCAGTTGCTAATGAGGAACTACACCTTGTATTGTATAGATTTGTCACTTGTAAAAGAGTACGGAAATTTGCAGTAGCTGCTAGAAAATGCTAAGGCAAAAGCTGGAAAGATTCTAATACAATGGTAGTGTTATAAAGCCGGTGATGGAACAAATTAAGAGGGTGGGAGAATTCCACTGGTAAGAAATTTTTTTGGCTAGTCCCTCGCTGCCATCAGCATCTTCAACATGCTGCTGCAACCTGTAATAGTTACTCTGCTAATGTAAATTTGTGTGTGCCTTGCTGTAGTAGCGACTTGTTACTGGATGAAGCGGGTGAAACTGTGCATTGACAACAAGGTGCAAGGACTGGGGCTGACAAAATGCCTGCTACCACAGTCAAGGGCAAGACTGGTTTGGCCTCTGTGTTTGCCACCAAGAAGAACCTTTAGCTCTGCTGTTGGCTGCAACCCAGCAGGCGGGGAGCGGTGAAGACACATGCCATGCCAGACCTTGATGTGAGGGATGGCCTCCCCTGTTGTCAGAGAACCATACAGGAGAAAAAAGGGGCAGGCCCAGCAGCCTGTAGTTGGCATATGTTGGAGATACAATCTAGCCCAAATCCCCTGCTCAAGTAGGGTCACCCAAAACATATATAAAACAAAAAGGGGGAGATGTGGAGACAGTGTTCTCACAGGAGAATGGATAATTGGTCCATAAACTCTGAATAATCCTGAAAAATACAGCAAGGCCATGAGGTCCAAAGAAGCTTAAGCAAGCAAGATAAGAAGCAGCTGGAATTCACTGAGTTAAGGAGAACTGTGGACTGTTGGCAAGCTTTTGAGGTCAAGTTCTCACACCTGTGCTTAACCAATTATATGCTAGTCACTAAGGGTCTTCAAGACATGTCTCCAATCATAATATGCCAAATCACTGTAAGTGCATGTAAGAAATAGTATATAAGGAGTTAAGGCTTTGTAATAAATTTGGCAATCGCTTGATCGCATTGATCGTCTCTGCGTTGTCCATGACTCCCGCGTCACAGCTACATTTACAAGAAAAATGCATAATTGTAATACAATGGTAAATACAGATGCAGAAGCACATCTTGCCTTCAGTTTTGATCCCTTAACAAAAAAGCCCCACCTTTTATCTGACAAGGCCAATGCTTTAGCATTTGGGAAAAATTGTGGAAGTCAACCTACTACTTACTGTCATAGAAGATGTGATAAGACTAGTTTAATGACAGCAAATCAAACATTAAAAATATCTAAATATTATTTAATTTTAAAAAGTTTGTAAAATAATTTTGTTTTGAGATTGATTGTTCTTGTTATCTATTTACATAATATCTGTATTTTACTGGCGCATCAAAACTTTTACAATTATTTAGAAGCCTAAGCATATAGGTAAAAAAAAAAACCAAAACGAACCAAAGACTAGTGAAGAGAAATAAATATGAAAACAGGGAAAAAAATGTTTATTTTAAAAAGATGCAGAAAAACCTGACCACAAAAATAAGCACATTACAGTGTATTTGCCGTCTTTACAGATCTACCACATCCACTAAAACACAATCTTAAAGATGAATCTTACAGTCATATTTTACTTGATGCCTGTTCTGGTTTAACATACAATTCTCAACTATCAGCAGGCAATCTATACCTTAATTCACAGTGTCTGCACATAAGGTACTGGAAATACTATTTCTCCTTGTGCCTGCGGGATTAAATTTCATTGTAGACCAACAGAACCTTCTCCATAAGAAGTGGATCTTCCATATAAGTGGGTTTTGGGTGTTCCTTCCTCCTTCTTACTAGTCTGTGCTCTATGCAATACATTACTCAGTATCACTCTCTCTTTAGTAACATTTCCTTGGTATTTCACAATGATTAAATGTCACCTATAAGCACAACTGAAACATTTTAGACATTTTAAGTAGTTATTTTACTCATTTCTAAATACACATTATCTCTGTTCAGGAAGTTTATTACTGTGATTATTTTATTTCACCCACTGATGCTTTTTAAAACTAAATGACACCATCCCTTACTCCTCTGCACAAGGCTAGCAAGTTAATCAGTCCTGCAAAGAGTTACATGTAATACAAGCTGCATTACTTTAGAAACAGCATAGTTGTAGTTAAACCTGTTATGGATTAGATTTTTTGTGACAATTTGTCACAACAAACAATGTGTTTTAATACAAAAAAAAATATTTTTTAATAATCATCTTTCTCACAAAAAGTCCAACCACCAGCGATGGGAAGCAGCAATATGGAGTATATTTCTGTATTTTCTAATTGTATGTTCCCAAATATTAACGAAAAATATTAATTCTTTATGGAAAGGTTAATAAACTTTTAAATAAAACTGTAAATACAAGGTTTTATGTTATTTGTAAGTACACAATGTTCCAGAACAGAGAAGTATTTTAAATATTCTCACAATCCTGTTAAAAATTTGTTTGCAGATATTGCAGAAAACCAAAAAGCAATAAAAACCGATCAAGAGAATACTATTATAAATATATATAATATTTTTCTGGAAGGGTAATCAGTACTTTAAAAAAGTTGCTATAAATTTGAATGGGGGGGAGTGTAACTTTCAAAAGTAAACTACCTTAATTCCACCCGTTTATCCATAGTCAGTGTGGCACCACTTTAGCTGACATCCACCTTTAAGGTAGTATGTAAAATTGAAACTGTAATAACAATGCATACCGTATGTTACATATCAAAGTCTAAAAAAATCTAGCAAAAGAAAATAGACTGTTTATGGAGTTTCTCTCATATTACTTTTCTGTGTTTCATGAAAATATGTTCAATGGAATTATAAAATGTTAGTGTAACTATATCTACACAAACAACACAATATTGACAAGCTGTGTTTTAAATACTGCCCTTCAAGGGTTTGGAAACAGTACTTTCATATTGCACAGTTTTAATATTAATACAGTGTCCAACAACACATAATACTCAGAGGCATAAAAATCATGAGATGTTTAGTCTTCGGTGATGCTTGAATAAGAAATTAACCCAGTGCATCAGGGGGAAGTGTTAGAGGTCATTGACATAAATGAGATAAATGCCTCTCTCACACATTAATGTGCTGTGCTGCCTTATTGTCTCAGGTACACATTACATAAGAGTGCTAACAGATGTGAGAAGCCAGACCTTTTGAATTTTTTATTTTCCCCACCCTGGAAAGCATACCTATTGGTTATTTCCATTTAAGAGATACCTTTCCAGGATTTCATTTGCAGAACCTGTCCAGTGTCTCTGATGTGGTCTAGGAGAAATCACACACACTGAACACAGTCCCTCCCAGAGATGGACTGAAATGCCATTTTGGTCATATGTAAGGAGAAAGGGAAAAAAAAGGGGGGAAAAAAGGGGGGGGAAAAAGGGGGGGGGAAAGGGGGGGGGAAAGGGGGGGGGAAAGGGGGGGGGAAAGGGGGGGGGAAAGGGGGGGGGAAAGGGGGGGGGAAAGGGGGGGGGAAAGGGGGGGGGAAAGGGGGGGGGAAAGGGGGGGGGAAAGGGGGGGGGAAAGGGGGGGGGAAAGGGGGGGGGAAAGGGGGGGGGAAAGGGGGGGGGAAAGGGGGGGGGAAAGGGGGGGGGAAAGGGAACTAAGAAGGCGTGGGAGGGGGGAAGGAGAGAGCAAGAAAGCATGACGGTGCTTGTTAAGCCCTTCACAGATTTCTCTCTCGTGTGTGTGCACACACATTACTTCACACTTTGGCATAGTCTGCTGGAGGAGTTTTCAGGCCTGAGTTGTTCCTGAAGGCTGTGTTACTTCTAAAGAATAGAATTCCTATACCTATATAATCTAAAAACAGAAAACAAAAACAAAAAACCAAGACACAAACACCATCAGCTTTACATCATTTTCACACATGTAAGTGAACAGGACAAATTTAGCACCTCCGAAAAGATTAAAAAAAAATCATTATGGAGTTTTAATTTAGCAACAGGATGATCCAATTTGACTAGGGAAGAACTTTAATATAATAATACTACATAGGCAAAACACTGTCACTGGGACACAACTGGAAATAAGTCTCCAACATTCCCACAATAACGGCCTTAATGACTAATTTCAAGTACCGTTTTCATTTTAGGAGGGAAAAGGTATGTGTTGCTGGGTTTCTAATGAAAAATTTTTAAATAAGTCTCAAAATAGAAATCACAGTTAATCCGAGGAATTAGCAGAAACTATTGTAAGCTAATAATTCATGTGTTTTGCTTTTTCAAATACCAGTAAAGTGTACAGTCACTTCCTGTAATATTCAAGTTGTTGAAAAAATTTTGTACTTTTGTCTCAAAGGCTTTTGAATCATATAAAACCCCATGTTCTTCCAATTTTAAGTGCAAAAGAGATGTCCATAAATTTGTATGAATCCAAAACTAAATTAAAACATCATCCTAAATTGAGGTAGTACATTTAACCAAGTTTCTTTCCAAGGACTTCAGAAAGAAACTGAGGAATTTTAAGAGTAATGTCTCTATCAGCAAGCATTAAAACCTTTAGTGACTGATGCATCCTTTCCTCTCAATTTCAGCACTTCAGGAGCTTGGAAGATCTTCTTTAATGCTTCCTTTTTTTCCCCAAAAAATACTGTTTAGTCCATGCACTTTTAGGTCCTGTGGCATCGATTGCAACATCAATAATGGAATCTGGAGTCATCCACCTCAGAAATGCCAAGAAAAGGAAGTTCAAAACAGCAAAAAGAGCAAAAATATACCCAGTCACTGGGCCACAGTGAGACATAAGTCTGTTAAGTCGCTCATCCATTGGTAAAACCACTTCATCTGCAACCCTGTCATACACCTAAATGGAGAAAAGACAGAAAGCAAGAACTTAAATCAGTGTCGATTCTATCATGAAAAACAGGCAGTACTTTGTTTTCAGCATGCAAAATAAATTATCTATTCCTTACTACAAGATGGGACAAATACTAACCCCAAAAAGCTTTGCAGATTTTAAGTACTATTCAGAAACGTCATTTTTTTTTTTTAAGGAGTAAAAGGAAAATAAATGTTTTTTGACAGACCTCAAGAGTATTTCATTAAATAGGAAAGCTTTAATTTGTCTCTTGTAATATTCTATAGAGGGGGTTAGGTTTTTTTTTTTAATTAATTGAGTGGGTTCTAATCTTACATTCACACCAGACACAGGAAAAGAGTCTGAACATGCAATCACCACACTTTCAAAGATGGATGCTGATCTTCCAGATGTCTGTATTTGAACAATCAAGCAAACCATAGCAGGATACTGACTTTTATTTAAAGAAACACTAGTAATTCTTAATAAAATGCTTAAAATTCAATGAATGTAAAAGACAAATACATGTTACTAGTGACTTAATATGCATATTAACTACAAGCACTAAAATTAAAAAATACAGCCCCATGTTTCATAAATACCCACTACACACATCTCAAAAAAGTTTCTTCCTTGAGAACTCTGCCTACTTCATCATATGAGTAACTCAATAAGCTAACAAACAACTCTCTTTTGTACAACTTAAGTTCCATGCATACTTTTCGTAATTACACTTACATTTTGCCCACATCACTTCAAGGATACTTAGAGAGACATCTGAGTGCACTACAATGTAATTAAGAGGCATGTGATTCAGCTACAGTCTCGCCTAAAACATAGGGGCTGAAGTCAAAGCAACAGATCTCCACAGGCAGCTAAAAAATTAATGCGCTCAACATTCTTCACTTATAGCAGACTTTCTACACTCAAGTGTGTAATTCTGAAATATGATTCCCAGGAGTGTGACAATTTATTTTCATTGCATCCATAGCTTATGAAAATTCAGCTAGGTTCAGCCTACTGGCACTAAACTACTTTGTATAATTCTAAACCACTTGTTAACACGTGGCAGACAAAACTTTGCCATGAACTTTTCCTTTTCAGACATCTTTCACAGCATGTTTTCCAGTTATGCAAAAAAAGAAGACTGGGAAAAAACAACCAACCAACAAAAACCAAAACTAAAGCATGAGTAGAAATGTAACTAAAGATTTAGGCTGTTCCTCAGAATATTAATCAGTAGTTATGACACAGAAAAAAATACAAATAGGAAAAAAACAGCACATGTCTAGGGATGTAAATACGGGGAAAAAGTATTTTCTGAACCTGTTTAAAACCATGTGTGTTTGACAGAGAAAACACTGAAAAAAATCACACTGAAAGGTTATATAGAGAATGTACATAGTAATGTTTCAAAGCAGCAGCTGTTTAAAAACTGTACTTAAGAGAATTTAATAGAAGTGGTTATACATACTTTCTCAGTTCTCTCTGCTATATTCCTCCATGTATAAAACGTCTTTACTTTATTATGAACAGTTTCTGGAGACGGTAGTGTTCCTGCTCTAAGCTGGGCAATAGCTTTTTCTAATCCATCACATAGAGATTTCACAGAGGGTTCACATAGAATAATGAGATCTTCTGGAAGCACCTCAGGAATCCCACCAACTCTTGTACTCACGACCTTTGAAAGAAACAACAGAAATAGCACATATGCAGCCTAACAATAAAACAGTAAAATTGAGCGATGACACTATTAAACTATTTAGATGCAGCACTTAAGAACCTGAAAAAAAATTATCCAATGAGTGGTTGCCATGAAGGCAAAGACCAATACCATTCTTTAAAATTTTACCTGTATGCAATCTACAGAAGGTTTAGGCCTCAGAAAGACCCAGCATAGTATATTACCTTTAACAATGTTCAGAATGATTCTTTGGCAGCATGATAAAACAGAAGACTCTAATGAGTGGTTTATGAGACATCTTACCTAAACGTATTTGTCACGGTATACAACTAAATCAACTAAATCTGTGTAGCCAGATATTAGACTTTCTCTCCGTAGCCCCTCATGAAAACTTACCTCTATTTGGAGAGGACAGTTTTAACACATCTGCCTTTGGTTTATGCTTTCTAGGCTACTGAACATTTACAAGAATTACTTTTAAAATTCAGTAATTTTAATCTGAAATACTGGTTTTAAATCGCATCTCTAATACTAAGATGAATACTAAGAAATATTAAGACTCCTATTATGTAATCATCTCTAAACAGCAGGCAACAATAAGAAAATTGCAGAACTTTCTCAGCTCTAGTGAGTAAAACAGATGACAGGGAAATAACTACCACAACTAGGCAGTAACTAGTGTCAAAGGATACTGAAGTAAAAAAAAGGTCCCTCGCATTTCCTATACTTTGTGTATATTAGGTATTCTTCTCAGCCTGACTTTTTAAAAAAATGTTTCTTCGTATTTTGTGAGAATCTAAGCTTTTGATGGCTGTTGATTTAACTTTTTTGAGTTGACAATCTGGGTTGTCAATTGGCCAGAAAGGGATTTCACAGTTTTCTTTCTCTCCAACTCTTATCTTGAAACCCTACATGGTAAAGGCAGATACAACCGCAGTTAATGTAAGAAAAAAACTGTCAGTTCTTGGTGCAGGAAGAAAACAGTTCTAGTACAATGGTTTAGTGTGGCTATTAATATGCCTGACTGACCATGCTCATAAGCCATTTTTCCACACCTCCTCTTAAAATAAGGTCAAAGTAAAACTTCATGAACATCAACTACCCCAAAACTCTATAAAGGAGTACATACAAAATAGCATAATGGAGAGGCAGTCTGGTTAGTTCAGAAAACTGAGAGTCAGCAGATCTACATGTTATTGCCAATTCTGCACGTTTCTTCTGGGAGCTTAAGCAGTTTCAGTTAACCCTTCTGTCTCAGCTTCCAGGTAATCTGTAAACAGGGATTATATTTGCTCACCTTTGTAAAGACAGAGCCTCAGACGAAATCAAGTGTTAACAAGCATGTATTATTTAATCATGAACTTTGTTTAAAATGGATACATGCATTCTAGATAGTTGAGATTTTTATTTTTACCTGTAAACCACAGCTTGCTGCTTCCACAATTGCCATACAAAAGGCCTCTGTGAGGGAAGTGTTGAGAAAAATGTGTCCCTGGACTAGGACATTTCTAACATCCTGGTGTTCCAAGGCTCCTAGGAGACGCACCCTGCATATAAAGGGGTACAGTGTTACACATATTCTGAAAAATATTCCAATGGTTTACACTTATGTAGTGGAAGAAGGAATACAGACACCTTCGTTCTGTTTTCTCTAAATTTTTCCACCAATAGGGAAATAAAAGATTCTACTTCTTATTTTCGCACAAAAAGAAACTTCTGAAAACAAAGCTGGGAGGAGAAGCTGCTCTGTTTGTTTTAATGGTAATCGCTTTCAAAACATTGCTACTAAGCTTTCTAGTTCTGTAAGAGAACACAGATTAATCCAGTTAATATTTGTAACCCTTTCTTTGTTTAGATGTATTATCTGTAATTTCAATGCAAGGTTTGATTAATCTCAGACTTGTATTTAGCATACAACGATCAGGATCTATTATTTTGGAAACTGTGAAACAGAAAAAGGTGGAATAAGAAAGATACTAACAAATAATTTTATCAGAGTAATCACTAACTGAAGTACAGAAGGAGTGACAAAAGACAGAGAAAAGGAAATGGAAAATTAAGAACCTTGTCTTTGCCACAAACACTGTCTTCAAACAGTAACTAAACCCCAAAGAAATATACAAATGCACATGTATTACAGAAACATTTTGATAACACAGTAGCACCAGGGAACATGTTTGCAGTACCCCAAGAACACATATTAGATAAGCATTACCTGAAGAGTTTCATATTGAAATAATAAAATAAATTACTAACAGTCACCCTCATAAGCAGCAGTGACACAAACTAGCTGTCTAACATGTTAGTCCATACAGTCATTTGTGATCCAAACAGCACTATTTTAGAGAGGAATATGATAAATTTATGTCTAAGTCAGCTTTTATCTGACTCAAGTGAAGGTTCATACAAGGCCTATTGTTATCAGTTAACTTGCATGATCACAGTCCAACTTTAAGCCTTCAGTTAGCATCTGGTCTAGCTGCCTTGCCTTCAATAGTTCTCATCTTCTTCAGCCTCAGGTTTTATTTTCTTTTTAGGGGAAGGAGGTAGGCAGAAAGGGTGTTGCTGTTGCTTTCCCCACACCTAAAGTACACTGAAGAGTCATAGACATGCAAGTAACAAACCTGTCATGCAGCTGGTATCTTTCCCGGACTTCTTCCAGTATGATTCGCTTTGGTCCTTCTCCTCCAACTAAGAACTGTAACTCTGGATATTTCTGACAGAGCTCAGGAATTATACCACTAAGCAAATCTATACCTAAGAGTAGAAAATTTAGGGCAATCCATTAATGCGTTTGGTTTTAGAACCTATCATGATGTAACCTGCTGCTATATATTCAAAAGAAGAAAAAAGATAAGTCTCTTGAAGACAAATACACTGCTGAACACAAAATGCTGAAAAGAAGACAACTTGTGATCTCTTACACAAATCACGTGAAGTTGCTGTTGCTTAATTAAAAAACAGTTAAAACATTTCTAACAGAATATATAGATTAGGGCCTAGATCACACACCTCACCCCCTCACCCCACACCCATGTAAGCCAAACTTTCAATTTTACACATTTCAGTTTTGAATACCTCCAATATTACAAAAGAAATATACCTCAGAACACAACATGCACAAACTGAAACATACATTTCCTTTTCTTGAATGGAGAGACACAAAAGCACAGAACTGCCATCTCCCAACTCCCATTTAAAATCCAATCTATACCACAGACATAGCTTAAGTGGTACCTAACCAAGACCTTTCTTGACATACCTTAAAGAAAAATACAACCAAAATAAACTTACATTTTTTTTCTCATTACCTTTTCTGTATACAAGTCTGCTGACAACCACAATTGTTATTGTAGCATCATCCCTCCTTGACGGGTCTGGAGTGAAGTCGGTGGGATCGACAGCGTTGGGGATGACAGAAACTATCCGAGGGTCCAGAGCTGCTCGCAGCACCGTATTTTCCTTACTCGTGTAGGAGACACAGATGATGTGGTTGGTATCGCACAGGGACACCGTCAGAAGTTTGTTGGTAAGCACCGAGCTGACATCCGCAAACCCAAAGAGAGAATGGTCTGTGAACACCGTTCGCAGCCCCATGGTCTTGGCATGGAAGAGGGCATCATGGGCCATGGCAGAGAAGGAGCTGTGGGCATGGACAATGGTGACCCTCTCCCTCACAAATATGTACCTGAGCAAGGGCAGGCTGTGGAAGAGCGTTGTAGCGGTGGACTGGTTGTACATGACCTTGAGGGGCAAGTAATAGACTTTCAGCCCGTTGGTGAGATAGCGGACTCCCTTCCGCTGGCCATAGGCGTGGGTGACCACCAGGACCTTGTGGCCCCGCTCGATGAGGCACTGCGACAGCTGGTATACATGGCTCTCCACGCCCCCCATGTTGGGGTAGAAGAAGTCCGACACCATACAGACGCTGTGCGCACGCCCCTCCGGGACCCCGGCCGACATCCCGGGCCCGCTCCTGCCGGGGGAAACCACAAGTCGACATCACTCGCCGCCGGCGGCACAAAAAGACCACCGGCCCCCTCGCTGCCGACGTCCCCTCCATCGCCGCCAGGCCCGGCCATCCCTCCCGCGCCGGACAACACGCACCTGAGGGGAAGCCGCCGCGGGCCCTTTAAGACGGCGATCGCGCCAGCAACCGGCGGCCGTCTCGGGAGGGGGGGGGGGGGGGGGGAGGAAGGGGGGCGGAATGAGTGGGGAGGGAGGAAGGGGGAGGGGGCGTGTGCGTGCACGTACCTGCCGCCCGCCAGCGCTCCCTGGGTACTCCCCGCCGCCCTCCCATTTCCGGAAACGGCTGCCCGGTCACCACGGCAACCGCACCCCAGTGCTCCCGCCTCCAGCCCCGCTCAGCGACGCAGCCAATCGCCGTCCTGCGCTGCATCACGCGGGAAAAGGAGATCGCCAATCGGAGCCGTCGCGAGCAGAAAGGCCCTAACGGAAGTGGGGTGGGCCCCACTCGCCGGTACAGGGGAGGGGAGGGGAGGGGAGGGGAGGGGAGGGGAGGGGAGGGGAGGGGAGGGGAGGGGAGGGGAGGGGAGGGGAGGGGAGGGGAGGGGAGGGGAGGGGAGGGGAGGGGAGGGGAGGGGGCAGCGGGCGGTGCTTGAGGTCTGTTGTTGGTGCTCCGGCCTGGCACTGGAGGGCGGGGCGTCCTTTCACCTACTAGAGCGTTGTCGTTAATGTGGGGGGAAGCCAGCCTCGGCAGGTTGCTTCAGATAAAATGCCCCTAAATAATCTTGTGCGCACAAAAACGTAGTCCGAAGTGGTTTATCAAGTGAGCTGTGTCCTCTAAAACTCCAAAGGCTTTGCCCTGCCCTGCAGAGAAGCTGTTCTGGTGGAGCGTTTGACTCAGCCACAACAGAAACTCCTGAAATACTGTCTCTTGCCACAGGTGCTGGAAGCTTGCTCTCTCTAAATGAAAATAAGATACAAATACCACCATTTTTACAGACAGGCCAGGCATGTCAGCTTTGAGAAACACATTTGGGTTGTATGAGTTGTGCTCTGGCACCCTGGGTGGGCATCACTTGGGTTTGTATTTCTGGTCTTCTCAAAAGAGTTTTGCAATCAGCTGTTCGCAGCTCCAACACTGGCCTGATTGCAGCTGACTGCCAAGAAAGATGTTACCTCAGTGGGCTGGGGTTGTTCATCCCTTTTCTACATGTGCCCAAAATTCTGCTTGGCAGCTACTTCTCGTTGCCAAGATTTCTGGTACGAATTTTGTCAGATTTGATTCATCACTCCTCCTGTGCAAATATGTGTCATGGATGGCAGTATAAGCTGACCTAAGCTGGACTGCTGGCTAGATTCCTGGTTAGGACAAGATGCAGTTTGGAGACACCAATCCCAAGAAGGACCAAGATGGAAATCAGGCTCTTCATTCTGGGGACTGAAAAGACATGAAAGATAGTGTGCAGAAGAACAAAAACATTGCTTGTTGACTGAATTTATCTCGTGTTCAGAAAGGCAAGACCAGTATTGGCAAACTTGATTTCATCATGAGGCACTCCTCTGGGGTGGCAGGAACCTGAATTTCAGGATAAGAAGCTGCTGATGAGGTCAGAAGTGGGGAGGCTTCTCACCTGCAGTAGCAGGTATCCTGCTGTGAAAGAAGAGATGGGGAGCCAGGAGGCCATCGGGATCTTCATTCTCAGAAGAAACTGCAGCCTGTCAGAAACAAAATACTTTGTAATACTTTTTGGAAGATTTTCTTTCTTTCTTTATTTTTTTTTTATATGCTAGATCCTTTGTGTGCTGTCTAGAGACGTTGTAATTCTTGGTATGCAAGCTTAAAAAATACAAAGAGAAATTGTAACTAGTATTCAACACAGCAGCCCCTCTCTTTGGCAAAAGAAGTGGTATTTGACACATTTCATAAGCCAATGCTGACCAACCACTGTGCAAATCCAGAATACTGGCACCAACCTGCAAAACCTTCCATAGGACAGATCTGTTTAATCTCAGAAATCTCTCTATATGCCACAGCAGTTGTGATTTGTTTTTATCCCTGTATATTTATCTGAGCTTTGGAGAGGGCTTGGTGCTTTCCCAGCAGCTGGCCATGGGCTCTGAACATCTTTCTGAAGGAGGTCAGGAAAAGCATGTTCGCCAAGCCTTCCTGCCGTTGGCCCAATGTATTAGCTCTGGTCATCTGACATCTGTGTTCTTCATTAAACATGTCTAGTTGTGCTTAATGTCGTGTCTGTCAGTGGTCCAAATCAGTCCCCCTATATCAGCAGCTGTCGTGTCCAAATGACCTCAAAAAAATTGTCTACCAAGAAGGCTAGGAAAAAACAAAACCTTAATGGAAAGGAGAGAAATCTGCCACTGTGAAGCTGGCAAAGGTACTGCTAAATTTTCTGTCCATGGCTGGTTCATGAGGGTGGGGTATGGCACACTTTCTGCTGGCTGTGTTGTTGTGTTGCGTATCCACAGAACTGTAACTGATCATGGGCTGACCCCGAGTCTGTCCTGCCCTGATCTCAGGTGAAGCTGTTGTGAAGGGACCAACAGCTGAAGAGGAAATAAAATTTTCTGCCTTTCTAAAATAAACTCATTGCATTCACTCCTTCACTTAAATCACATACAAGGTCAGAGGGAGACTGTGGGATATGTAAAGCAGAGAGTAAAGATGTTAAACCAGTGAGTAAAGATGTTAAACTAGTCCTCCAGGGCTCCCTAAAGCACCCTAATAAATCTAGTTAATGAAGAGAGAAGATGAAGGACACTGAAAAAGACTCCTGTGGCTTTGTTCTGGTAGCAGATACTGTTTTGCCTCAAGGAGACCACTTTGGTGTTCTTGAAAATGCAGGAAAACTCTCTGCTGATATACTCTGCTCTGTAATCTTCCTCTCAGCTTCCTCTTAGGCTGAATTTGCTACTCTGTCCCCAGGCTGGCAGATGATCACTGGAGACCTCTAAAATTTCCATAATTTCCTGCATTTCTTCCCAGCACCCACTCAACAGAACCAAGTATTCTGCAAAAGCCGCAGCTGTTACAATTTTCGTGCAATGCTGGATCTTGTTTCCCTCCTCCTCTAACTTACACAGTAAGGGGTCCATAGGTAAGTTAAACAATACTGGAGACATTGGATTTACACCAGTCCAGATCCCCATAGGGTCCAACTATTCATTCTTCAGGGCAGTGTAGGTATTAACATTGTTCAAAATCAGGGCAACAATATGATTGCTTAAGAGCTGTGATGATGTGAAAATGACTCACCCTGTTGAAGGCTTTAGCTACATCAACAAAAACAACTCCCAGGGTTGATGTTCCCTTTTTGCATTTCCGATTAATAGCGGTAATAATTTTAGGTTTTCTAAACAGCCTGCTGATCTTATAAATCCCCTGTGTCATGGATTAATGGGACATGCCTTGGTCAGCCTTTCTGTTAAAATTCTAGAGAATAACCTTAAAATAGTTGATCCAATCACAATAGGTCACCAATTATTGGTGTCATTCTGGCATCCTGGTAGGGTCAGCTTAGATATTAACATAGTCTGACATTCCTTTGCCTTGTCTGGGATGGTACCAGCTAGCAGCTAGAGATTGAAGAGTTCTATTAATTTGATATAATGAAGATCTAAATGAAGTCCCTCCAACTAAGCCTGTATGGACGTGAAGCCATGTTCATACTCATCTCTCTGATGTTCTTAGAGATCTCTTTGGTTGTAATCATGGCATCAAATACCAAGTTGTCCGCTAGACCAATGGTTCAGAAAGCATCCAGGCCTTAGAATGTTCTCATCACCTCCTATCTTGACTTGAACACCTGGTGCACCTTTCTGCCACTGCCTCCATTTAAGATGTTGTTTTGCTTTCAAATCTCAGTGTGATGTCCACCACAAAGGACATGTATCCTCTGAAATCAGGCAGCGTAGGTGCCAAAGAGCAGGAAAGCTTGGGAGCAGTTGGGGGTATATACCAGGAATGGCTTCTAGTCCCCTGTGCTTGCACACAGATTGTGTCTCTGTCCTTACCAGTACAGGGCAGCTGCTTGGAGTGTATTGACAATGCTGTGGATTAATGTCTTTTACACCACCTAGACGTAAGCTGTTTACCACTTCCATGCCGGGACCATTTCAGCACCTGAGTGCCTGATCTCAGTGTCCTTCCTCGTCCCTAACAACAAAGCCTGAATGCTGGCTGTCTTCTGCCTTGTCAGCTGAGTTCGTGATCCAGCTTAAGGGCTCCCTGAACAGGGCAGAAGAAATTACTGGGCACACAATGCAAAGCAATGGCTGTGCTCTCCCTGATGTTTGAAATCTGTCAGAAGAGCCTTTGTACTGGCAGACCTAAGGGGTATCTGTCCTGTGGCCAGTACACAACCAGCATCAATTCTAACCAGTCATCTGACTAATTTGACAGAAGTTCAATTCTGCCTGTGTCTGTTCTGGATCAAGTGAGATGCAGTAACACACAGATCTGGTATCAGCTGTTACGAAGCCACAGCCTGTTGACCAAACTAGACTTGAGTTTATTTTTTTTTCCCCAGGTTTGCTAGATTTTACTGTCCATTTAGTTGCAGATTTAAATTTCTGTTTCTGCAGCTTTGAGGCCACATCAAAGTGCTTTAGCATTCATGCATCTCAGCAGCCTTAGAAGAGAAGGCCTGTCTTAGAGGTCTCCTGTTTGTAATTTTAAGACTGTACTTGACCAACTCTTCTAAAAAATCCTGGAAATTTATGTTGTAGAGTCAATCCAAACTGAAGTGACAGAACATTCAGAGGGGTTTTGGTATGAAAATGCTGACAAAACAGGTTTAACTGAAAGTTAAAACAGGTCTTGGTGGAGGAAGAAAAAGGTGCAGTGACAACAGCAGATGGAGCTATTGGAAACTTAAAATGTGTTTGTCCTGGTGGAGAGGCAAAAAACTCTCAGTGAAAAGCTGAGGAACCTGCGTCTGATATGTATTATTTCCTGCTACTAATGCTCTTACCATATGCATGCTCCTGACCGTTTTCAGCACTGTTCTCTGTGCTCATGATACCCGTTAATGTAGTACCTGCCTGCTCTCTATAGTTT